TGATGCTTCCTATGAACAATGATCACATTGGTGGTTGTCAGAAAGCAGCACCATCATTCACTCAACAAATAGACCTGTGGGAGCTCTTAAGAGCAACATGATACTTATATTCAGACGCAAGCCTCCAAAAGGTAGCAGCTAGACTGATCAAGCATGTGTGGTGATGGCAAACAGTCTTCCTGAGTTCTAATGCTGTGCCTGCCGATAAGGGGAAGGTATCCTTGGTCAAGTCATCCCACAGCTTTGGCCATTACTTTATCTCAAATGTGATTGCATTTCTTTGCAAATCCCTTTAGCTCTAAGTATCTATGAATCTATTAATCACTTGGGCTTTGATTGATGTGGAATATTGAATTGCCTTAAATAGCATGGTCTGTTAGCAGAGCTTTATTGGGTTCAGTGCATTCTGAATACAAGTTAAAATGTATGAGGATATTTTTAAAATATTCTAATTTTTTTCACCCTAAATGAAAGTACAAAAATGTTTGTGTTCACATTGTGATAAGAATATTTCTCCTAAATCATGCAGGGATACCTTTCAAGTCAATGCCTTAGAAGGCAATGAGAGACTTGCAAGAGACCCAGAGATACAAATGGGATAGTCTGAGAAGGTACGTGGGAAGGAGATATAAGTTCCTAGGGAAAAAAGTGTGGAGTATGGGACCATATGTAGGCCTGGGAAATTAGAGTTCTAATTTCAGCTTTTTCACAGATTCACTGGGGACACTGAGAATGGCCTATTTTTGTAATTCTGTGCCTCAGTTTCCATATCTGCCAACATTAGTCCCTGGCTGGGTGCCCTGGACTGTGAGAACACACTGCACAGAGCCATAAAGATACAATCAGTACCCAAAATGCAAAACATCTAGTGTCTTAACATAGAAATATCAACAAGAGTAATTCCTTTAGTGATCAAAATGGGGATGTTTTATAAAGTATATCTACTGAGTGAGAATTAAGAGTGAGAAGAAGACAACTGTAAAGGGTTCTAGTCCTGAGAGTACAAACTTGAAATACGTCAAGTTCCAACTTTGCCTTAGCATCTACACGACTGTGAATAATTTCTTAACCTCCTGCAGTATTTTTATCTGTAAAATGGAAGTAATTTTGTGCATCTCAGTGGCTTGTGGTGATGATTAAAAATGACAGTTAGCTATTCTGAGCCGCTGGTCAGGTTTGAATTCACAGACCCTATGTGCTTTACAGCGATGATTGCTCTTACTACAATTGTCTATTTAAAAGATCTGGTTACCAGGAGCAAGGGTTTTTTTTTTTAATGCTACCATTTATGAGCATTTACTGTATTGCTGTGCTGCGTAATACCTCCCATACGTTATCTCATGTACTCCTCTAACACTAATTACTGTTATATCAATGGGATGGAAGGACACCAAGCCTTCTGACTTCTTCCCTTAACCTGCCTGGTTTTCTTTTTCTCAGCTGCATCTAATTGGCTGTACTTTTAGTATCCTTTAAAGCCACCTTGAGTTCAAGACTAAAACAGTGATAACTAACTGAATATATTTATGTAACATTTATTTTTGTCGTTTTACTTTCTACCCCTGGAGACCTGCTCTAAATTCACTTGGATGTTTGAGGATAAATCGCACTAGCAGTTTCTGGAAAGCACTCAGAAATTTACGGAACAACTTTCACTGAAAAAGTATATATGTTTATGCTAATAAAAAAGAGAATTACCAAGATGTCTTACACTCATATGTTCATAGATCTCTTCAGTAAGGAGGATGTATGTGTATAGGGCATAATGCTGTCCTCAGAGACCAGGTTGTAGGAATTATTGAGGTTACAAGAAGGGTTAAATTCAGCAAACTTTTTTATTAATGTGCCTTTTAAGTATGAAATACTATATTTGCCTTAGAGACAATTTGAAGAATATTTTTGTAAAGTGGTGCAATATTCAAGATAAAGTTGTTATCCTTCCAAACTTAATTCCACCTCTTATTCACGTCCTGGACAATTCATTAACGTTTCCTAATGTCAATTTTTTTCCATAAAATGAAAATACTATAGAGTTGCTGTGAGTTAAGTGAGAACAGTGTCTAATCATAATGGCCAATCAACAAATGTTAAAAACTATTCCTTCTCTTGGAAAAGAATCTCAAGGCTGACCTGCTAAAGATCTGTCTGTAAAGAATCAGAAACTCCCTGTCCCCAGTAAAGTGCTTCCTAACTTCCTTTGGTAATAAACTATTTTCTATTAAAAGTGATGGATCATTTCCTGTTATACACTCAATGTACGTCCCCATTTCAAACCTTTTGTGGATGACCAATCTCCCTCCTTCAACCCCAGGTTAAGAACACCTTCTCTAGTGTTTTAATTTCAATTTCACCAAATCCTCTTACAGAACAAAGACATCTTTAAAAAGTAAAATTCTTTGGGCATCCTGCAGTTAATGGAAGGAAAACTACAGGCCTTTATTTTTGAAAGCTTTGGAAAGATTGTCATGTCAGGACACAACCCCATAGCAAACCATTAAATGAATTGCTCAGAAACTTTATTAAAGTGTTGCTGATCCGCCGCATATTTCCTGCAACCTTTTAAAACACACAAGTGTTTATGTCTGAGTCTGAATCTAAATAGAGGAAGAAAACATTAGAGTGATAATAACTCTGTTTAACTTCATTTATGTAATCGTGACCATATCATTAGTTAATATTGCATTATTTAGAGCATTGGATAATAAATCAAGAGACAGAATGTTCTAGAAAGTAAACTTTAAAAATTGGTAAGCATCACGTACCTTTTCCAAATGACATTTTACTGTGTTGAATCAAAGGTTCTTTGGCACAGCAGCTTCACGGAGTCCTGCATATCCTCATTCCCAGTCCCAAGCCGGCTGGCGTTGCTGCTGGCAGTTATCAACTGACTTGGATTTGAAACGACTTTAGACCTCATCATATAGCTGCTGCCACCAAGCAGTTGAGCCAGCTCTGCATACCTTTCAGTTGGTAATTTTTGTTTGTAATGAACACATATCTGGGAGAGAATTCTATTGGAAAATGTTCTGAGTTTGCATTCCGGCCCCACCATTGCTGTGTGCTTGACATCAGGATGTGACCTTCAGCTTGCTAACCGTCCATATCTTGTTTTGTAAAATGACTAGAACATACCTTCTCAGCTGAGTTTGAGACCCCAGATCACACAGCAGTGATGAACGTAGAAGCATCTGGTAACTAGGAAGTGTTACGTGTCAGCAAACAAGGGACCATTGCAGGATTCTTAGGTGTGGCCCACTGATGTTTGTAGCTGTCCTTATTCCAAACTTTACTTTCAGTTTGTTTAATTCAAAGGCGAAACTCTTTCTGTTTAACTTTTAAAAAAAATTGTCTTCTTGTCATTAAGTTAAGACATTCATACTCTGCTTGTAGAAAGATTCACTTGTACCCTTGTAAGATAAACCATATAGGTGACCCCACCAATCACCCTCCCTCCCCCATCCACCCCCCTCGCCTCCCCTCTC